ATCACGATGTAAGTCCATGCTATCCAACCCCGCTCTCTAGAGTCGGGAAGGGCCATGGTCCTTACTTATTTCCATAATTCAACCGGCTATCCACAAGGACTACCGAGCACACCCGTAGGTCAATCCTATATCTAGGATCAATTTAATATTTACATTATCTTGGGTATCCCTTAAGGCCTACCCCTAGTATAACTTAAAGTTCATACTTTCCTACCTTAAAGCATCTCTTAAGACTACTTAAGGCATAACATTTCACAATCCAACCTTAGGATCAATCTTAACAACATTTCATTTTAATGTCCAACTAGTATCTTAATACTAGTCAAATTAATATCAACAACCAAGTTCTCAACTCATAGTCATATAGACAATTCCAACTGATTTTCCTTTGAAAATATCATTTATCTCAATATTCAAAATATCACCTTTAATCACTCATATATTCCAATATGAAGAAAAAGTATATTTCAACATATGTTTCATAATAAATTCCACTTTCAAGTCAACATACTCATAACACATGAACATACACAATTTACTCTTAAATTTGTATATCATGCTCCTTTTTCTTTAGACATTTAGTCTTTTCATTTTTAGGCATTATTAATCGTTAATAATCCATAAAAACACCTTTAATTACCTTCGGTAATCTCATGAAATTAACTCACTAATTATAAGCAATATAGTCAGTCATCCTCACCTCGAATTTGCTTGAAGAAGCTCTACCCTTCTAGGTTGAACTCCGGCAATACTCCGGTGAACTCCGGCAAAACTCCGACGAGACTCCGGCGAAACTCCGACGAGACTCCGGCGAAACTCCGGCGAAAGTTAGGAACACTTTAGTCAAGCTTCTAACAAGGTTTTATCATCACAAAACCCATATCAACACAAATAACCCCTAAAAGGTTATTTTTCGGCGAACCGGTCATTTGGCTTCTAAGTCCGTTCTTGGACTTAGAACTACCTTCCAACCCCTTGTTCTACACTTCTAAACATGAAGAACAATCCTAGGGGTCCTCCATATGATATATAAGTATTAGGGTAGTTAAGAAGTAGAGAAAAAGTCAGTATGAGGTCATTACCTTGATTCTTTACACTTTTCCTATCTTTCTTCTTCTCCAAACCTCTTTCTTTTTCTTGTTTGAGCTTGAGCTCGAGTTGGCTATGGAAGGTGAGGTTTCAGAGCTCCTTGGCCTTCCTTTCTTTGTGCTGGACGAGTACAATGAGTGGGAGATGAGGGAGGATGGTACTTTTGTCTTTGGTTGACAATTGGGTGAGGTTAGGGGTCCCTTAGGTGTCAAGATGGTCTCCCCCATCCCTTCAATGGATTTCAGCCACAATTTAGCTCATGCCAGCCTCCAAGATCTTGGAAATTTCGTGGGTTGGCCCCCACTTGTGTGGGAGGTCACCCCTTTTTGTCCAGAAGTGCACAATCGATCCCGAAAGTTGCATTTTTCGGCCCGTTTTAATCATATTTTATTATATCGGACCAAATAAAATATATTACGCGTTCCAAATAATTATGGGCCTTTAGAATAGATGTACATTCCCCAACATTAATTTAGGATTCTCCGAAACTCATTTCGGGCTGTTATCCGCTAAATTACCAATACCGGTAATTGGGCCCCATTTGACCAACCGGTCAACTCCATGCCTTCTTACGGCCCAAATAGAGTGTCCATCACCATATAGATGTCATCTAGACCAAGATGAATATAATATGTGGTTCGGGAATTATCGGGCGGTCCTCGTTCCCGCTGTGGGCCCCACATGCAATTTACTATTCACGTAAAAAATAATAAAAATTTACAATCACGCATTTTCTCAAATCATCCTTCAAGGTTTATTACATAATTTACTAAAAGTAAATATGTTTGGGGTCGGTGTTACACTTCGAAACTCATTTCGGGCTGTTATCCGCTAAATTACCAATACCGGTAATTGAGTCCCGTTTGACCAACCGGTCAACTCCATGCCTTTCTTATGGCCCAAATAAAATATCCACCACCATATAAATGTCATCTAGACCAAGATGAATATAATATGTGGTTCGGGAATTATCGGGCGGTCCCCGTTCCCGCTGTGGGCCCCACATGCAATTTACTATTCACGTAAAAGAAATAATAAAATTTAACAATTACGTAAATTCATAAATCATCTTTCGAGGTTTATTACATAATTTACTAAAAGTAAATATGCTTGGGGACGGTGCTACAGAAAGTGTAGAGTTGCAGGTCTGGTGGCATGGGAGCTCGCACTGCGCGAGTTTTTCTGGCTGTAGGTGTTCGCACACATTGTAGCGCACAATGTGAGCACAACAGAGACACGGAACGTGCGCTCAATGTGCGCAGGTTGCGCACACAACTGTGTGTACATATTTTCGCCCCAGGTAATTAATTAGCCAAAATTTGATCTTTCAGTATAAATAGATTTCCAATTTTGATATCCTTCCTTGTTTGAATCGTAGAATTGACTTTGATTTCTAGAGCTTCTTTCTTCGGGATAATCATCTTCAACGATTCCAGCTGTATCAATAAAATAATGTACAGATTACTCGAAGCATAACATTCATCCCAAAAGAACCATAAAAAACATCACTCTGATCTTGATCTCCTCAATGGGGTCCGTTTCCAAATCTCCTCAATGTGAGCATTTTAAAGGGGGATTTGAGTTTAGATATCCTTTTTTTTCTATCTCGAGCTTCGTTTACTCGACTGATGAAAACATGTGATTCAATACTCAAGTATTAGGGATAGTTGATCCGAAAGCTCATAAATTCACACTTCACGTTGACCGTATTGGACAAACACAATGATAGAATCTTGCTCAATTTGATGAAGTAGTTTTCATCACTAGGTTTTCAAGGAACAAGTGTAAATGATATCTTAGGTTCACCTCTTATTGTTAAATCATATAAATAAATTTATTAGATTGTGAATAACGACTTTGTACAAATACTAGATTGGATCGAGTATAGCATATTTATCAATTCGTGTAGCTAGGCTAGTGAGTACTACGTAATATATATAGGGAAAAATAATTAAAATACCCCAAACTTTGAAGGGGTGTGAGTAAGCACTCCAAACTTGCATATGCAATTTCATTACCCCAACTTTATATAAAAAGTTATTTTAGTACCATGATCATGTATTATTTCTTTCAAAAATGACATTTTTAGTGTTAATTTCATAATTTAAAATATTTTAGCATTCACGAAGATTCAATTAACATTCTAAACTTCCATCGTAAAATAAATAATACCACCCCCACTCTATATAATTGTAGAATTTTTAATTTGCTATTTTATATTGTGCAATTAACACCATAAATTTATATATCAATACATACATACATACATACATACATACATACATACATACACACACACACACACACATACACACACAAGCACACACACATTAAAAAATAGTTGCAGGGGCACGGGGCCCTTCAAGTCCCAATGCAGTTCCGCCCCTGATAGTATTTGCTCTTGTTAATGCCAACATCCTTGATCGGGATGAGACTCGAACCTACGACCTCCTCTTTTAGAGATCGAAAGTGATGCCATTAGACCACAAGGTACTTGACTTCTGGATTTAAATTATGAAGGTACATCACTTAATTAGCAATGCATTATTCAATATATGATATTCATTATTTTCTTTTCTATACTTTTATGACTGGAGAATGATTTTAATGTGATGCATGTGATTATGTGTGTATTTTATCATTAGAATATGTATACATTTCAAATAAATGTATGCAATGTGTTATTAGATTACAAAGAACACTGAGATTTAAAGCTTTTCAAGATTAGAAGTACATAAAGTTCATAATCTAAAGAAGTAATGTATTGCTAAGTACATCCGTTGTTAAGTAAAGAGAAAAAGGTCAAATAAGGTCTTCTACTATTACGAAATAGTCACATAAGATCATGTACTCAATAAAGTGTCATATAAGTACCTCTACTTGTATAAAGCAATCAAATGAGTCCTAACGACTTATTTAACACCTCCTAATCCCGATTTTAGCTTACATGTCGATTTGTTGACTTGTATTTCAACCAATCTATTTAAATATTCAAAATATGCCGTATAATGTATTCTAAAAAGATGGTCATAAGTACGTTGAAATCGGGATTAAGAGGTGTTAAATAAGTTATTATGACTCATTTGATTGCTTTTTAGAAGTAGATGTACTTATATGACACTTTATTGAGTACATGGCCTTATGTGACTATTTCATAATAGTAGAAGGTCTTATTTGATCCCTTTCTCTTAAGTAAATGCAACAGTCAACTTTTCATGTTTGTCAATGCAAAACTTTGACCATTAGTATATCTAATTATGTTTTAGTAAAAAAAATTAAAAATTCAGATTTTGAAAATTTAGGATGAATAAAATTTAACAATCTATTTTTTAAAATAAATTATTAATAAATAAAATATTGTCAAAGTAGAACATAGTGTAAAATTTCACATGTAGTATTAATTATTAGGTTTTCAGTGAATTTTGGGATAGACTTTTTGGTGAGTTAAGAGAATTTCCAATTTTTATTTAAATTTTTTAAACTTATTCGATTTGTTTCATTAGGGGGTATTTGGATCCGATTCTTAAAACTGCTTCTGCTCCTTCAGGAAGCAGAAGCAGAAGTTGAAGTGTTTAGGTGAAAATGCAGAAGTGATTCTGGTGCTCTAATTTACTCCTATAATCAGTTTTTTTAGAAGCTGGGGTACCAGCACTGATTCTGATTCTGCTTCTGGTTTAAAAAAGAAGCAGAAGTCGAATCAGTTCCAAACTATCAAGCGGGCTTCTGCTTTAAAAGGCTCGGTAAACAGATTTTTGGGCGGATGAGACTATCAAGCGGGCCGATCTAAGTCTGAAAATAAGCCCGTAATAGGTAACGAGTAGGAGTAGGCCCGTTTACCGTGTGGATCGGCAATCCGGTTTTTACTAATTACGATAGATCGCTTAATTAACTGCCAAGAATACTTTATCCAGCTATTGCCAATTCCCGCCGGCCTCCATTCTCTCACTTCTGGTTGTGGCTGCACGGCCTGCATTCCGCCGTCTCTTCAAGGCAGTGCTTGTGATTTTTAAACCCAAAAAGATGACCTCAATCTCCTCGCCAGGCCTTTCCTCCTCTTCCCTCCCTCGCTCATCCGCCGGCGTCCGCCCCCATCTGCCTTGCCAGCTGGCATCTCCGCCTAGGCCCTATTCTGCTACATCTTACACCTCCATCCGCACCTCATGCTCTCGCAAGCAATTCACCGTCGCTTCCGGAGGCAACCTTGTGCCAGATTCTCAGCTGGTACGCCTTTAAATTGGCTTCTCGTTGAGCTTATGTGATTACCGACCTGAGTCAGGTTTAAGTGATTACCTATACTGTTATACTCAGAATTTCTGATTGACTGTTTATCTTTCTGCTTCCTGCAGCAGAGAAACGGAGTTTATACAGTAGGCAACTTTATGACGGGAAAGGAAAATTTACTCGTAGTGAAGCCATCAACATCTGTAGATGAAGGTATTCGTCAATGGATTAGGTTAAATTATTGTACCTTTTTATGTATTACTCTTTGCCGGCTACACTTGTGTTAGGTTGTAGTGAGCAAATCAACATAAGGGATTTTTAAGTGTTTGCATTGACTGGTATTTTTTATTTCCATGGCAGCATTGGAAGTTCTTGTAGAGAACAGAATTACTGGCTTTCCTGTGATTGACGATGAGTGGAAGCTGGTATGTTCTCTTTTTTAGCCTGACATGTCAGCATCATTCATTGCATTGCATGTATTCTTGTACCACAGTCCTGTTACATAGGAGGAAGGGTCCAGCTTTGCGTCAGCTAATTTTATCATCTACTGAATGTAATTGGCTTACAGGCAACTAGAATGTTTAAATGTTCAATCTTTGCTATAGTTGTAACCTATCAATGGCTGGAACTTGCCTTCTTGAATTCTCTACAACGTGAATATTGTGTCCCTGATGATTTGTCTGAGCTGTCACATGCAGTTGAATGACCATTTTGGCTGTAATGCGGTGAAATGAAGGATGAATACACAACAACAACATCCAAGCCTTAATCCCAAAAGAATTTGGGGTCGGCTAACATGAATCCCAAAAAATGAAGGATGAATATAAGGAAAAAAATTACATTCATACCTCAAACACATGAACATGGCTAATAATTTATCCACACATTAAATGGCTCATAAGCTACTCACACTAGAACCCATCAAATAATCAAGCTTGCCACACATTTATTTATTTAGGGTGAGGGATTTGGTTAATACTTAATAGATGTGTGTATTGTTCATATGAACTTCTAAGATGAAGTATAGTTTTCTTTAGAAGCATTTTCAAAGAAAATGACAAGCTTGGATGCACTATGTTATTGCTTATGCGTTGCACATGAGCTATATTGGACCTGTAAGGGGGGGAGTAGGCTTGTAGGCTGGACCCTTTAATTTTTTACTGAACAGGTATAATTACTCTAAGTTTTTCAATGAGTAAGTATTGGTTGGTATTATTTATATGCACATGTCTACCACTGCCCAAGTGCATACCCTTCCAAAGAGAAACATCTTGTGTCCGCTACTGCACATAAGGTCATAGGTGTTAGATTTGAACTCACTATATTTTCTCAATTAGAAGATGCTTCAAAGTTCAACCAAATTATCAAGCACATTTCAAGTGATATTCTATATATTAACTGAATAGTGAAAGTATGACTTGCTTCTTAAATTAAAAATGAGAAAAAAGAATTTGCACCCCATGTTTTCTCCATTTTTGAGTTTGCACCGATTCCATACAGAAAAAACGGGGAGGGGGGTTGACGTTTCCTCCTTGATTTGAAGCAATAAGAGCTCCTTCAAAATACTTCTTCCTTTCTAACAAACCGTAGAATTCCTCCAATGTAAGACTTAGACAGGTGAATGATTAAATTTCTCTGGAACAGATAAATTGTAAGAGTTGATTCTCAATTTTTTCAGAGTTTTAAACTACATCAATAAAATAATCAATCCTTGCCTATTTTTCATAAAAAAATTAAGTAAAAGGTAAACTTAATTTATGTAAGTAATAAATTTAAAAAGTATTTGCATCCAACAATAGATACATTTTATTCTCAAACATTAATGTTAACAATAGAAAATTGTTTGACTGCTCATGTGTTAACACAATGTAGTTAAGAAACCCGTTTGTGTTTTCCAAGACTTACATTTAAGATTTTTTATGTTGAATGGGGTGAAAGCAAGGTGGCATAGTTTTATAGCCTGGGATGTCATAACTGGTTATGAGCAAGTGAGTGAAATAACAGTCAAAGCAAATATCGAACTGGATAGACAGTAAATTCCTTGTGGTTTATATATCATATTTCTATTGCTCTGATGTTTGACAATACTATTCTGGGTACTCATAAGATTAAGAGAAAAACCAATGTGGCCATTAAGACTTTAAGAGTGAGCTGATGCTTAGAGATGAAGCCTAGGAAAAGTAGTAATGAGTAATGAGGCCAATAAGATAGTGAGTTGATGCACAGAGATCAAGTTTAATGGACACCTAAGAATGTAGGAACTAGGAAACATATGACATTTTAGAGACACATGAAGAGTACAACAACAACAACACCCAAGCCTTAATCCCAAAAGAATTTGGGGTCAGCTAACATGAATCGGTCTATGATATCGATGCCAAAAAGAGAAGATGGACAAGAAAGAGAAAAAAAAGTAAGATAAAATGAATAAAATAAAGATAAATAAATATAAGATAACAATAACATTGGAATATAAGAAAGATAAAAGATCAAAAATAAAAGAGCATAAAAAAGCTAGTGGATAAAAATAACATAAGAATATAAAAAGATAAGGAAGATAAACGATAAAAGAAAAAGGAGAGGAAAGGTAGAAAAGACATCAATCGTCCACACGGATGTGCGCCCTCCACTTTGCTCTCTCCAAAGCCATACTCTCATCCAAGCCAAGAAGACGCATATCAGTTCTGATTCCTCTAATCCAAGTCTGTTTGGGTCTTCCCCTCCCTCTCTTCACTGCCTCTTCTCCCCGCCCCTCAAGTCGTCTAACTGGTGTATCACTTGGTCTTCTACGCACATGCCCAAACCACCGCAAACGAGACTCCTTCATCTTATCTTCTATAGGTGTTACTCCCACCTTTTGTCTGATTACCTCATTCCTCAAGCGGTCTTTTCTAGTATGTCCACAAATCCAAAGCAACATACGCATCCCTGCCACACTCATCTTTTGAATATGACATTGTTTCACTGCCCAACACTCTACGCCATAAATTAATGCTGGCCTAATTGCTGTACGATAAAAGTTACCTTTCAGTCTAGTCGGCATACCTCGATCGCATAGAAATCCAGAAGCACTCTTCCATTTCATCCACCCAGCTCTGATTCTATGGCATACATCTCCATCTAATTCACCATCCTTCTGAATTATGGAACCCAAGTAACGGAACATATCACACACTGGTATCTCCTTACCATCAAGAGTAATCCCACTGTTGTTACTACTTCTCAAATTTATATACCCTTACTTTTTGACTCATCCACAAATGTAATGCATTGGTGTGTGTCAGAGATGGTAATGTGAGTACAAATGAAACCTAAATGGAAAATATGTTAAGTGGTTCCTAATTTTTACTCAGTCTGGGTACTGTAAACAATTGGCTTCCGGAACTCTTGGTTAATTTGAGGTACCACTTGCTAGGATTTTGGACACATAGGCCATAATGCCATATATGGAAGCAAACAGAGCACATTGGGTCTAAACTCTCAGAAAACTTCACCTAAAACTTTGTTCATCTACGTTTGACACTGACAATAAAATACTGATTTTAGTGACTATGTTTTCCTCTTCTTGATCTTTCTGAAGTTAAACTCCTGGAACTTGACTCTTGAATTGAAACGTAAATCATTGATGCATGCTTTATGGTAGATTTTGAAGTATCAATGATTTAGTTGTGTTTGTCAATTTGTTCCAATTGTTAGTGACTTGAAAAAAAATGTTTTTACCTATTAGTTTTTAACTGGTAAGTAGTGAAGTTGGGTTGCTTTCATGAATCGCTGCTTTAAATGTAGAAAGATCATTTTTACAATGAACAATTTGATTTTGATACGCAATTCAAGAAATTAAATTGGGATAGTTGGATAATACTTGAGCTGATTAGTTTAATTCTATGTGATTTTCATGATTGTGAATATAATTCATTAATAATTGTGTTATATATTTCTCATAAATTTATAAAAACAAAAAAATCTTTTCTTTAAATTTGATACTTTATAGGATTGGTATTATTTAAATATTAAATTAATTTGTAAATATTGATAGATAATGACATAAAAGGAAACAGAAATGTTTGTATTTTAATAACTACACTGTTAATAATAAATACGGATTATATTCATAATAATGAAATTGACATAATATCAATTGGATGAGGCTTATACAAACTAGACCGATCGGCTAAATCAGTCCAAGGACCCATTTCATGACCATATCGATCTGGATTCAGAAGTGTTTTACAATTTTAGATTATATTAAACTTTACATTTTTATAAGGGAAAACTATCAAATAAGTCCATCTACTTTTACTAAAAAGTCAATTGAGTTCACATACTATAAAATGAATCAATTAAGTCCTCAATTTGTCAAAAAATGGTCAAATTGGACATTTAACCGGTAAGCATACGGTTTCCGGTTATATCGTCCAGGTGGCTTATTTTTACTATTTTTTAAACTCTTTTTTCTCTTTTCTTATTTATTTTCTATTTCATTTTGTTTTCTCTTTCCTTAGTTCCTTCTGCGTGTACGGCAACCCCAGCTTGAGTTTCCCTTCTCGTTCGGTTTCTCCCTACTCCCTAGCAAATGCACTCATGCATCAGTCTATGGATGTTGGGGCGGCGGAGTTAGAGGGGCCGCGCAGGCAGTGAATATGGCGGTAGGGACGGCGGAGGTTGTAGCTCTGCCCTATGGAGGTAGGAACAGAGGGGGATGGAGGTTGGAGGTCACTCCAATGCAAGAGGCGGTGGTGGAGACCACGGTAGTGGTGGTTGGAGGCGGTTTGAACGCAGGTAGGGGCGACAGAGGTTTTGGCCGGAGGAGGCGGTTGGAAGTCGGAGGAGGCGGAGGTGTAGACCGGAGGCTGTGTGTGTGGAGGTAGGGGCTAAGGGCCGGCGGAGATGAGGTGGAGGATGGGGGCGGTGGCTATGGAGGCCAGGCCAGCAGAGGAGGTGGTGGCTATGAAGGTAGGTGCGCCGGAGGTCGGTTTAGTCGAAGGTGGCGGAGATCGGTCTAGTTAGAGGTGGTAGAGGTGGTAAAAATGGTGAAATTAAAAGAATTGTGGGAGGTGGTCCAAATTGAAAAAACAGAAAAGCTCACAAGCTTGGGGGAGGAGACCTAGATAGGAGATGAGCGGACCAAGAACAAAGCTGATAGGGAAGAAAGAGAAAAAAGAAGAAAGGGATGAAAAAGAAAAGGAGACAAAAAAAATATAACAAAATACGAAAACAGTGAAACAATGCCATGTGGAACATCCATGTCAGCGTTTGAACGGGTAACAGGTGGTTTACCGGTTAAATGGCTGATTTGGTCGTTTTGTATTACTTCATGGACTTGATTGATTCGATAAAATGTATATGGACTTGATTGACTTTTTATTAAAAGTAGGTGGACTTATTTGACAGTTTTCCCTTTTATAAACTTTCAAATATACATCAAGATATAGAGTTATAGACTAGCCCTCCAATTTCTTCCATCCAAACAGACCCTTAATGATCTGTGGCAGCAAAAATTAGTGATGGCAGTAGGGTGAACAATTCTGAATCCCGATCTATATAGTCATGAAATGGCTCCTTGAACACAATCTAGTGATCTGGACGCCACAGAATTCTGGCACACTAATGAATCTGAAAGCATTAAGTTAATATTTTTGCATTCTATTCTTTAAATAATGAAATCTTTCTGCAGGTTGGTGTGGTCTCTGATTATGACTTGTTGGCACTGGATTCTGTATCAGGTAATATATTGAATAATGAGTTCTGACTTAAGAGCATAGAGTTTTTACAGGCTAGCAAGTAGCAAGTAAGAACCCCCATCCCCTGTAACACACAGAGTCACTCAGACACCTAACGTAAAACAAACATCCGCGACAGTCACATAAAAAAATGTCTCTTTTTATTCATAAAAGCTCTTTCAAACATTCAATAGTAGAAAAGCCAATTGGTTTTCCTTTTGTTCTTCCAATAACGCGGTGAACTTGAAACTCTTCTTGGTCTGAACTACATGCTTGGCTCCTCAAACTTACTATTGCTTGAAGTCTCTAACACATGAAAGCCTATCCCTATCTGCATTAAATTGCTTTATCCTAGCTGATGATCAAATTTACCAATTGCCACTGATAAGCACGATAATTACTTATCTATACGAAAAATATAAAGAGAAAGCTAGTAAAAATCCCAAAGTGAGCAAGAATGAGAAAGAAGACTAGAAGCAACGAATATGAGGTCAAAAGTCAAAAGGGATCGAAAACCGGCACTTTAGGATCAATCGCGGACGCCGAAAAAGGATGGAAAAAATGTACATTGCGATTAGGGAGTAACCGGCGCCAGTCAAGCCACATTCGGCGTGCTGACGTCAATTTTCGGCATCCGCGATTGATCAGTGACGGTTTTCGACCCCTTTCTCATTCTTGTTCATTTGGAGATTTTAACTTGTTTTCTCTTTATATTTTTGTACAGATAAATATAATTACTTACATAAAGCACCGGTAATTATCGTGTGCTTATCAGCCATGAGGGAAAAAATCATCTTAACTTGTAGACACAGTCGAAACAATAGTGTGTCTATACAACATATTTAGTAAATTCTATAGCCCTTGAATTCTTAATGCCACAATGAGATTTCGTATGCATATTTGCAAATGTGGATCCTCAACATGCATATGAATCAAAATCTACTTTGGCGAAATGAATTTCGGTTCCTGACAAGTCTTAACCTCTTAGGTACTGGAAGAGCTGATGCAGACATGTTTCCCGAAGTTGATAGCACATGGAAAGTATGCATAACCATTCGAGAGTGTTTAGTGCATTTTTACATTTTCTCCTGCTTTTTACATTTTCTCATGGAATGGTAGTTGTATTCTTGATGTGTTGATGTACTCTTGGCGATTGAAAATTGCAGACATTCAATGAAGTACAGATATTGCTCAGCAAAACCAATGGGAAAGTAGTTGGTGACTTGATGACACCTGCACCATTAGTGGTGCGTGAATCCTCTAATCTCGAGGATGCAGCAAGGTTTTGTTCTCAATCCTTCATTTAATCTGACCATAATTTCTTATGAACTTTTTAAGTATTATTTAAATAAGCCAAAATTGACAATAATAATCATAACTTTTACACCGGGCCCGAGCCCGAACCGCCATCCCACCGGGCCCGAGCCCGAACCGCCATCCCACCGGGCCGGGTGGCCCGAACCGGGCAACCAACCGGTTCACCGGGCCGGTCCGGGCCCACACAGTAGCGGGCCGGTCCGGTTCCGGTCCGGTTGGCCCGGCCCGAGTCCACTCCTATTCATAACAAAGAAGTGCAGACAATTTAGTGAGCCATTTTGCTTTATTTCATCATATTCCCAAGACAACATGATAAACATATTAATATTAAATGCCTTATTAATCTAGCTATATATGCAACACTTCAATTTTCAGATTACTACTGGAAACAAAATATCGCCGACTTCCTGTTGTAGATTCTGACGGCAAGCTGGTAAGGTCTTCCTGCCTCCAGCCTCCTTGCATCATTTGTACTACGTAGTATTTTTTTACATCCTGCCTGCTCAGCATCTGAATGATCTATAACTGTATTATACTGTGAAGGTCGGGATTATTACCCGGGGAAATGTTGTACGAGCTGCCCTTCAAATAAAACGTTCCATGGAAATGCAGACCTAAAAATCTGCAAGGAAATTCAAACTTGATTTCCTGCAAGTACAGTGACGTATCTATATATAGCAAAGCACGAATCATGCCAGAGCATAGATCCCCAAATAACAACGTTCCTGGGACTAGCTCAAATGTGGGAACTGGCTGAACTGAATTGTCTTCAACTATGTATATATCAGGCGATCCATGTCCCTCCCAGAAAGTTCTCATAACTTTTTCAACAGCTGAGATTCTAAGTTCCACCTAGTCCGCATTTAATTTGGGATTTTTTATTATGTGAACATATTCTGGTATAAATTGGTTTGGATAACTTTTTCGTTTTCCGATGTTTACCCGCTCACATTTGTACTGAAATTACAATATTTATCCATTTTGGTAAGTGAGGTCACATGTAGCTTTGGATTGATTGAATTCGTTTCGTTTATCAGTACGTTCATCCTGTTTTTTCCCAAACTCATTTTTGGATATCAATTTTACTTACCTCAGAATCTCTAATAGTCTTGTTTATTTATCCATTTAGTATGCCTTGTTTGAGATCGTCTCAGGTAGGGGTGGACCGGTTCGGGCCTAGGCCGTACCGGGCCTCAGTTCATGAAAGGGGAGGCCCGGAACCGGCCCGGGTAACCCCGGGTCCGGTCCGGGCCGGGTAACCCCGGGTCCGGTCCGGGCCGGGCCGGGCCTCGGTTCATGTATTTTTTTTTTGGCTTTTCCTAATTAACCCCCAACCCTCCCCCCTCACCCCCAAACCACCCCAAACCACCTTAAATGGCCCATCATACCCAGCCCAACCCAAAAACTTAAAAAAAATTCAAAAAAAAAAATGGCCTGGACTGGGCCGGTTAACTATTTAGCAGGCCCGGGCCTGAACCGCCTACCTCACCGGGCCGGGTGTCCCGAACCGGGCACCAACCGGTTCACTGGGCCGGTCCGGACCTGCACAGTAGCGGGCCGGTCCGGTTCCGGGCCGGTTGGCCCGGCCCGAGTCCACTCCTAGTCTCAGTCTCTCTTTTTTCACGGCTTATAACTTTCAACTCTCAACTCACTGCTAACACTTGTGAGTTGTGAGTTAAAACTAGGGGTGGCCCGTGGGGGTGCACCGCTTCCCGTCCTGCCATTTATACTCCCTCTGGTCCTTAATTAACTTTACACTTTTCTTTTTGGATCGTCCCATATTAAACTTTACACTTCCTTATTTGGCTTACAAATCTACACCAAACAGTGCAAAACAGTGCCAAACAGAGTTAAATAGTGTCAAACATTGTCAAACAGTGTATTCTGCAGTAAAGTCAAATTTATTTCCTTATTATGTGTGAAGTCAAAGTGTAAACTTCATTAAGGACGATAGGGAGTATATAGATCTCAGGATTGGGACCTATAAGTCTAGTTTCTATTTCTGCTTTGATCGATAATTTTTTAACACCCTTCCGATCCCTTTTCAGTTTTAAATGGACCTTCTCCTTTTTAGCTGCTTCTATATTGAAATTAACGACGAAAAAAAACTCAAATGGTCTGGTTCTGGTGCCTAATTTGGGCCACCCAGGAGCAGGATTCTAAACCCTCCCTGGTTAGGGTCTTGAAATCAGAATCGCTGGATCGATTTCAGTTCTCGTTAAAAAACGAACGGTTCTGGTCCGTATTGATTTTGAAACTGGAGTTGTGTCCACCCCTAACTAAAACCATCATCACCGGACCTTTAAAAATACACTTAGTGTGTTGTCTTCACAAAGGATGTGTTTTAGGCTAAAATTGATATTGCTCACGTAGAGGAGTCCCAAATATACAATGTATAGATTACTCCAAAAGACAAAGAGGTCGTTTGTAATGTTAATCTTTATTTTGGTATTACAAACATGTTTTTCTTTTCTTTTAGCTTAAAGGGGGCTATAAAATGATCAATTAATTTCAAACTCAATTGCTCCGTATGTATACATATTTATAGTTTTGTGTTGAAGGAAGTTTTATGTAGTGTGCTATCATGAATGTATAATATGTATTAGGATCATTATATGAAATCTAATATCTTCCTATTTATAGGACTTTTAATAATGAAACTACACACATCATTCTCTCTACAACACGTTGTTGAGAAATAAGTGCAATACGCGCATTATTGTACTTGATCAAATATTACATTCTCAAGAACGTCTTAGCTGAAAATAGCTCAGGACCAACACAATGTACATCGTCATTGCAATAATATCAAGAATGTAGTTTAATATCTATAAGAAACCAATTACATAATTTCTTTTCATCCATTATAAACTGGACTTATATGATTGATGATAACATCATTCTCAAAGGAATTAAAATTGTTAAAAGTATCACACAAACACCAAGTAATTAATGTGTTTTGCGTTTCACCGATGATGAATATCCTTTGACCTCATTGATATTTTCTTAAAAGAATATATATTTATCATGAAAGAAATCATGAAGTTATGTATTAAATACGTTCATAAAAGTAAAAAATGTGTAAATGTTAGATTCTTATTGATGTGTTCACTTAGATCAAGATTTTTTTATCATCAGTTATATTGGTGTGTTGTACTCTTTTTCCCTTTAGCTCAAGATTTTTTTTCTCATTGAATTTTGTTACTTGACAAGGTTTTTAATGACACAACATAATATGCACATTCCCACATTTTAATTTTGCAAAAGCAAACAATTTGAAGAAAGAACATACCCAGAGTAATTAATATATCGCAATCATAAGTAATTGATGTATGATTATTACCACATCATGATTATTTTTTCCTTTGATCAATGTTTATTTTTCTCATTGGGTTTTACCCATTGGCAAGGTTTTTAGCAAGTTAATAATTTTCACTTATCACTTAATAATACAAAGCAATTATACTACTTCTCTCTCTAGCTCTCACTTCTCTCTAGACTTATAGTCTATCATTTGGTGCTTTCGTTGAGAGCTAGAACAATCAAGTTAGCCTCCTTCGTCGCTACCAAGCACAGCTAACTAACAATGGGAAGAACCAAGTCAAACCGCAACCTCCTCAGCAAGGCCATCCCTGAGGCACAGGAAAATCAAGAGCACGAGGAGGACGCTACGGCCGACAAGGCCGCCGAGGGGGATGTCTTCCAGGAAGCCATCAACCTCGCAGGAGACCTACGGAACAAGCTCAACGGCGGCACCCCTCACGCCCGCATCGGCTTGGACAAGAAGCGTGCGGAGAAAGGTGACAATGCCTCGACGCAACCGGCCTCTCCTGCTTTTGACCATCAGCTTCAGGCCGCGCTCTCGACCATCATCACCAGCTTGGCCCAGAACCCCACCGTCCTCAGCGCACTCATGCCAAGGACGGGGGAGAAAACGCCGCCTCCTCAGCCCCAGCCATTGGCCGTCAGGCTAGGCAACGATGAGGGGGTGGTGCCCTAGGACACGACGTCGTCCCACTCCCACCCTGCTTCCCCGCTTCGAGCTGGACCAACCCCAGCGCGTGGAAAAGCCTCAGCCTTTAACAGGCTAGGTGACACGTGTCGTCGGTCTGCTTCGGAGAGGATGGCGGGGCGGATTGGGCAACGTGAGCCTAGCTCACCTAGGGAAAGCTTGGGGTCGGTATCCCGGACAGCGGATCGGCCCCGCCTGGACAAAAGCAAGGGGAAACTGCATGAGGATGATGCCCGTCACCAAATCAACACGGCTCATGCAGCCCGCTTGCAGACTCAGGGCGCCACCATGGCCGCCAGGGACCCCTAGGGACGAGGTGATCGCCCAACTCGAGCGAAGGCTCCCCCAGATAGAGGCCAAACAGCTGGCCGCCACGCCCACCGGCAACTCATCCAAAGATCCCGGTTTCAACGCCCTTCTGAACAAGGTCACTATCCTTTAGAGGGAGTTGGCCGAAGGACGAGGGGACCCCATCATCCAGGTCAGGACGAAGACCCCCTTCACCGCCAGGGTACTCTCGGCCCTTATCCCCGAGAAGTATCGGGGAAATTCCATCAAGCCCTATGACGGCCGCTCTGACCCCCAGGAGCACTTCAGCCGCTACCAAAACAACATGCTGATGGTGAACGCGTCAGATGAATACCTCTGTTGCTGGTTCCTTTCCACTCTTGAAGGGCCAGCGTATGAGTGGTTCAACGCACTCCTCGAGGACAGCATATACTCGTGGCAAGACCTTGCCCAGCGCTTCCTCACTCACTTTGCCAGAAGGAAGCGCGCGAAGAAGTACTTCACCCATCTCCTCTCCGTCAAGCAGCAGCATGACGAATCACTCCGGTCATTGATCGACCGATGGACGAGGGAGACTGATGAGGTCGAGGGGGGCGATGAGCGCACCCTCATGGTCCTGTTTCAAGGTGCCCTCCGCAGCACCCCATATGCGAGGAGCCTCATCACTGACCCACCGAGGTCTTATCTGAAGGTGCTTCAGCGAGGAAACTTGTACGCTGACGCCGACGAGCTTCACATCCACAAGAAGGACGGGGGACACCCCTCCAAGAAGACAAACGTCGCACCAGCTGCAGGTGCACCCTCGGCTGGGGACCGAGGACAGGGAGGACAAGGCCGCCATAGTTCTGGCGGAAAGAACAAGGACCGCATATGGCGGCCGAGGATGGAGAGGTCAAAGATCCCACTCACTCATCCGGTCAGCTCCATCCTCGATTATGCCGAGGAGCACTACCTCATCGAGCGAGATCCTCGGTCGGCCAAGGAGATCTACGCCGTCCATCAGGGCGGCACCTACTGCCGTTATCACAGGAACACCTCCCACAACACGGACGATTGTGTCACTCTGAAGAGAGCCATCGAAAAGCTAATTCGTCAAGGGAACTCTCCTAGTTTGTTACAGGTGGCCCGCGCAAAAATACGTGGGTAAACACCGGCAAACATGGGGGCGAACCCTCTGCGAAGAAGCCTGAGATCGGCAGACTGAGTGATGAAGACAAAGACTTCGAAGAGCCCCCTCTGAAGAAGAACCACATCAACCTCATTGTGGGGGGTAACACTGGGGGGATTCGGCCACCCAGAGGAAGAAATGGGTCCAATCCCTTTACATCTGGGAGGTGTCCCACACTCCCCCCCAGCCGAAGAAAAAACGGGAGGAGACGATCACCTTCACCGACAAGGATCTGCCTCTGGGGCCCGCATCACACAGGGACGCCCTCGTCATCCGGTGCGAAATAGGTGACTCTGTCATGCACCGCACCTATATCGACACGGGGAGCTCCGTCAACGTCATGTACCTTGACACCTTCAGGCAACTAAAGCTGGACAGAGCGCTGCTCAAGCCGATACGGACACCATTGTCTGGCTTCACCAGGGACTCTATCGACGCTAAGGGCACGATAGTCCTCCCTGTGGAGGTCGGCGACGGCTCACATCGCATCAAGATCGACATGGATTTCATGGTGGTCAACCTCGAGTGCGCCCACAACTTGATATGGGGGCGGCCAGCACTAGAGGATTTGGAAGCCATCATCTCCATGAAACATCTATGCCTGAAGTTCCCTACTAGCGGCGATATCGGCTA